AATGAACATTAAACAGTGCAGAGACTTGGCAAGCGATGGTATCGTGGCATCGTGGCATCGTGGCATCGTGGCATCGTGGCTTAGAGGCTTGTCCATCACAAATCTACGCTTTACATGCCCTCGCTCGTAAAGCAGGTCTATGCCAAGAAACTCACGGTATCAAGTAAAGAAAAGATCCTCGTCTGGTTCGTGAAGATCATGTTCGGTGACGACAATGCTGCTTAGGCAGCGTTCGAGACGAATCATCCACCCACCTTCATTTCCTGAACCGCAACGCTATAACACGGCATCCTCCCACAAGCATCAACGATTCAGATCCCTCTCATATATACAATACTCACCCTATCCCCTATCCCAACATCCTCAACACGCATCTCCCAATCCTCCACCTCCCCTCCCCTTCCCTCCCCACCGCACCTCCCCTCCAGCCGCATCCCCTCCCCTCCCCCGCCCCCTCGAAGACCGCCCCCGGATCCGCAACCGTCAACGCGACCTCGACAACCACGACCATGCCCCCCTCCAGCACCATAAAAGCGGACTGATCATTCGCCAGACTTCCTTCAAAGCCGGCATGCAACTCGGCGACGCGGAAACAGGAGCGGATGAAGATGTTCAAGGTCGCGAGAGCGATGGCTGCCAGGGGGGGAAACGGTGGGGGTGGTAGTCAGCGGATGGGAGGAACTTGCAGATGGTGGGAGTGGAGGGGTGATGGAGAAGGTCGGGAGGGAAGTAGGGGGTAGAGCGTACGTACCGATCAAGAAAGCGTGGAAGCGCCGAGCAGAGCAATGGATCCTTGAGCCCGGCGTGTCCCCAGCCGTAGCGCCGACTTGACAACGCATCTGTATCGCAAAGTCCGCGCACAGCGACATGAAGCAGAAGAGCGAGAGCACTTGGCAGGATAGGCCCGCGATCACGATGTTGACTCCGGTCTGTGTCTCTTTGGGCGTACCGGCCGTATCGGCCAGAGCGCCACCGACAGCCTGCAAGACCAGGGCAAGGATATCTGACGTGATGAAGATGATGGCGTAGGTGAAGATGATGCGGGAGAGGCAGAGGTAGATGCCTGCGGTGAGGAAAGCGGGGGCGAGAGTCAGGCAGGCGATGTCCCTAGAGGATGTAGCTGTTTAGGAGGGAGGATGTTTGGGAGGCGTTAATAAAAAGATATTCACGTGAGGAACGGGGTTCCTGAGGAAGGGGTTCTGAACCATCTGGACTCGTGCGACGTAGCCAACGATCTCGCCGAGTACGCCAAAGAACAGTGCCACTAGATAACCCCAGGTTCGGTAGTGAATTCCGAGGACGCTTTGTATAACATGTACAGCGTAGGGGACTTCGAGGTAGAATGCATTGCCAGCAAGGGAAGGGATATAGTCGACTGTTGCCCAAGCAAGTGGACGAGTCTGAATGGTGCAGAGGTTGACATTGTTGATAAGCGTTGCATTCGAGTAGGCAGCCTGTTCCGCAGACATTGTGGCTGCGGGGGAAACCCCCCAAGGGGAAAGCAAATAGAGGCAGAGAATGCTTCGCGGTCCAGAAGCTGGTGTAACAAGAGCAGAAAGCAGACGGATAACGCTTGGGAGATGGACGATAGGCAATCCTGGAAAATGGGAGAAGAAAAATTGATTGGGTCCTCACTGCATAGAGAATAGAGACACCTTCAAGGCAAGGACGTAATTGGACTCATGGGCACCTGAAGCTATGCTTTGGCAGAAGTATGAAGCCTTGAACACGAACGCAGCCGTTGAGAATGTTTGTTGGGTAATACAGCTTATGCCAACCCGAGGCGCAGATTTGTGACAGTCTATGAATTGTTTGTTGATAATAGCTCTCCAAAAATCACCACTAGGCTCGGAGACATCATTCAAGACCGCTGGACTGAGCTAGTTAAGCGAGTCACGAAGCGACCAATCACATCAAATAGAATAAAGGCTAGCAATGCTAGTAATACGGCGAGGCGCAGCAGACTTTCCTGAATCAGAAGACTCAAGGCAGCCAATTGAGCAACATACTTCTTCTCTCCATTGCAGCCTTTTTTTCACAATGGGTGTGATACTTCGCGAGACGAGTCACGACTTATGAGACAAGGTTCCTCTGTGTGCCTCTCAGCTATGGCATTGGCAATCGTTAAGAAACCGAGGGCTGGAGGATACCACGTGAAGACTGGATGCAAAACTTGCAAGTGAGTCTGTTCCTTCCTGCCGCCACGATGGCAATATACATTCACGCCGTGCCGACCAACGCACAACCATTCACGGGCTCCGTGTCTTTTCTCGGGCCTTATTCTCAGTGACGGCCCGGTAACTCGTAACTACAACTCGTCTTGCCGCGCATCTCCTACTTGCCCTTCGTGTTACTTGAGTTGGGCGGCCAGATAACCAGCGTGCAGCCGTAGCCTTGCTGACTCCTTGCCTCGACAGAATCCGACACGTCAAGTGCGACGAGGAAAGGCCTACCTGTAGCAAATGCCGCTCCACTGGCCGTGTCTGCGATGGTTACGGAATCAAACAGAGCACTTCCAAGTCTCCGGTTAACAACAGTGCCCACTTGTTTCCCGTAGAGGCCACAATCAAAGCACTCTCGATACAATCAGGCCCAACTATCAGCATTACCGGAACGAACCAAGAGCGCCGCAGCTTCGCTTTCTTCTACTACCAAACAGGACAGCAGCTCTCGACCGCCCTACACATAACGCTGATACACCAGCTTACCCTACAGGCCAGCCACAGTGACGAGGCGATGCGGTCTGCTGTCATTGCTCTTGGCTCGATTGGAGAAAGGTTGGCGATTAATGACCTCCTGACCCTAGAAAATGAGCAAGCAAATGCCTGTCATAACTTCGCTCATTTGCAGTATTACAAAGCCCTAAAGCATCTCCGGGAGCGCATATCCAACGACCTTGAAGGTTCGGGCAATCTGGCAATAATACTGTGTTTCCTATTCACAATCTTCGAGTTCTTGCAAGGTAACGATTGCGGATCCCTCATTCACCTCCGAAGCGGTCTCAACATCTTGCGGCGAGATCATGGATCGGTGTCTACGGGGCTTCAGACAGTCTCGCCCGACCAGGATCCCTTGAGATATGAGATTCTGAGGATTTTCGGCAATATGGATATGCAAGCGACCATATGGCTAGGATCAAAAACCTTTCAAGCTCCCATCATGATCCCGCCCGATGATCCTGGCGATGTCCCAACACATTTAGATTTGTTTTCTACCCTGGAGGAAGCGGCAGAGTCGTTGACTCATCAAATCGACTCCACAGATCATTTCCGACCCCTCTGTGATGCTTACGTTAGATCAGAGTCCCCAGATCAAGTACCACCGGCAATGCACGCAAAGAGAGAGAAGCTTATAGTACAACTGAAGCAATGGCGCGTTTCACTTGAAGCTCTCACCGCGAAGCTTCAAGGAGAGATCAACACCGAGATGTCGCAACGGATTGCTATCATGAGGATGAATTATGAAACAATTTTGATGGTACTCACAGCTTGCTTACAACCGTCTGACGAGCAGATTTATGCAGACCGCGAGCCCGAATTCCGCCAAATAGTCACCCTGGCGAAATCCGTGCTCGGACCAACGGATGATGTGGGGAAGCTTGGAGTCCAGCACACCGTTGCCGTGAACGATGTTGGAATCAATCCAGTACCCATTTTCACATTCGACGTGGGTATGATCCGGCCTTTGTATCTCACCGCGATCAAGTGTCAGAACTTGGGGGTCTGCCGAGAAGCAATCGCTCTGCTGTCGTCGTCGCCGTGGCGGGATGGGGCATGGGATAGTGCTACCATGGCTAGGATAGCGGCGCGCAGGGTTCAGGAAGTCGAAGAAAGATATATGAATACGGATCCTCCGATGATGGATCATGTAGCCTACAGTTATGCGCAGAGAAGGCAATCTTGCCGGATATGAGATCTCCCTCGGCATCAAATCTACATTCGGATGATCTGGCCCGACCATTCAGGTGTGGGATCGGCCAAAGTACCGGTACACCATGGATCGGACGATGACTGAGGTCCCGGCGGGAAGAACCCATCCCCAAGGGATGTGGGAGTACCAGAATCAAGGAGATTATCAGGGGATTGCCATCACGGTTAAGAGAGTCTGTTGGGAGACTTGCCATTTCCCCACGGTCTTCCTTATGGCATGCGGTCATGGACAGGCGGGATTTCTTGGTCTTGTCCTTAGCATCCCAGCACTCTCCACACTAGGATTGTACCGAGTAGCCTCTGAGGCTCAGCGGACTTGGCTCACGAGGCCAAGGCGAAACCGAACACCCTGTTATCTCAGTCCTCGCTAGACCTTTTTCCTTCTTGTAACCATACTGCTTCCACCCTCTCTCCACGTCCTCACACCTGTGCCCTGCCTACGGGCATGTCCAGAACACAAATTCTTCCATCATATCTTGACATGTTTGACTCCAACAATAAATTCTACCCATTCTTGCTCTACCCCAACTTCTTCCTTGCGCCCGGCATACTCCATCTTCAGCTTCAGCTTCTTCAGCCCAGGCATAAGCGTTGCCAGGATCTCCCGGAGCCCAAACCAAGTCTGCCAGTCATACGGCTCAGCTGTAGACCCACGAGAGTGTTCTGAATCACTGTAGTAGACTGAACACGCGGACAGATGCCGTACTTTAGCAAGTAGCTGGGGCATAGTAGAGGTAGTTCGGCGCAGTGAATTAGGACGCTGAGGTCGGAGATATAGGATATTTTGGAACTGTATAGATCCGCTCTTCTACTCCTCATCATCATTCTCGCCCTCGTCATCCTCCCACTCTTCATCCACCCACCCCTCCTCGTCCCCCTCCTCTTCTTCCACTTCCTCCCCACCTCCCCCCAGCAACTTCTCCATCGTCCGAATCTCCAACTGCAAAAGCTCCTCCGGCACATTCTCCGTCATCGTTTCGGATACCACACAGCACCCAATCGCAGTAAATTTGTCATCGTCCGCCTGCTGCGTCGCTCCATCCCCATGGACCACGTGCTCTGATATGCTCTTATAGAAATAACAGCGCCCGATATCCTCAGCTTTGATTCGCTGTCGGTATCGCGCCGCGCCCTCCTTGATACCATCGCACGTCTGTTTCCGGGCAGCTCCAGCGCTGATGCGACTGCCAGGACGGGTGGGCGGACCGGTGCTCATGGGCGCATTGAGCCGGAAGAGCTGGTTCGCGACGTAGAGCGCTATCTGTGCGGCTTCTAGCGCGTCGGAGAAGTTGCCGGCTTCGATCCAGTTCAGAGCTCGGTGTTGCATTAGTTTAAACTCGAATGCTGAGACATCGGCTGGGTTCGTGAAGACGTGGCGCTCGTGAGATACGCTGTGGTGGAAGTATTCGTGAGCGCGTTGGTAGCGGGCTGTTGCGATGCCATGGTCGCCGTTTGAGGAGGCCTGGTCGCCACTGGTGATCAGTTCGTCGATGGTGACCAGCACGAGACCCCGGTCGAAGCTATGATGTGTGAGATGGCGGGAGATCTGGTGGTCAATGGCTGGCCGTGTCCCTTGGATAGAAACGTCTTTAAAATGACGGAACTTCGTTAGGGCTTCGACTAGGGCGCGTTCTCGAATGTCTATGGCCGTGGGGGTTTCGGCGTATGGTGGTGGATGAACTTGGATGGAGCAAGAAAGGCCTGACGTGCGGTATTTCCCTTTGGGGTCTTGGAATGTGGAGAGCCCGACACATACGTCGTGTAATTCCTCGGCGAGTATCACATGTACATCCATATCCATCTCTGAGTCCTCAGCTCTCTCTAACTTCATCCGCATCCTCTCCCCAGGAACAACAGGCTTCTTGGTCGCCTTCCCAGGCCAGAGCGCGACACTGTACACCATTATCGTGGTATCTTCCTTATTCACATCTTCTGGTCCCTGCTCCAGCTCTTTCGCGCGCTCAATGACCACGAATTCATTCTCGCGCGCCATGACCGCCATGGCTTCTTGGCTGATCTGGCGATTGATGCGGACAATAGTAGGGTGGAGGTTCCAGTTGTAGAAAGTGGTGGAGCGCAGACAGGATTCGTCATCTTTGGGTGTTCGGGTGTGCTTTATGCTGAGAAGTTGCGTGTAGATGCGGTCGCGGAGCTCGAGAGGGAGGAGAAGGAAGGGGCAATTGGATGGGGTCTGAGAGGTGGAGGACATCGTGGCCGTGGAAGCATGACGCGTTGATGGCGGAGACTGGATGGTAATTGGCGAATAGAACTGTTGATTTGAGGATCAGTCCATCAAGGTGAGCATTTCCTGACTTGAGTCCAGAAGGGTGCTTACCTTAAGTAATGGTGAAGGGACGAGGGAAAAGATTAGGATGGGAGCAATCATGCAAGTATCACGCTAGTGTCTTGGCGCGCGACGCGAAGCTGCCCCTAACCTCAGCACCACGCGGTTGCTCTTAAGATAGAGGAGACAATGGTAGTGTGCCCTCGTCAATGTCAAGGTCACAGGTGTACGACGGTTTGATTTCGGGGTGCTTTTATGGGAGGTTCTCCGCGAAGAATGTCCTTCGACGCCAACCCTCTCCATGTACTACCAAACGATCTTGCACTCTCGCATTTTCTACCCTACAGCAACTTCTCGGCTATCTCTACATTTACTGAAAGAAACACGCCTGTGCCTCGGTTGCTTTCGTATTCTGTTTCCTTTTGAGCTCGCAATAGCAATCTATAATCGTACTCAGTTACGATGTCTTTACAGTTTCCCAAGAACGCGCCGGCGTCGACTTCAGTGATCTCTCTTAGATTTAGAAATGAATCAGGTATTTACCGCGGAATCCTCAAGGTTGAGGAAGCTAAGGCAGATTCGTATGCAATTCAAACCGCAATATCTACAAAAGCTGAAATACCGCGCAAGCTCCACAAGATCCACGAACGGTGATCCCAGCCTGCAACGTATATACCTGTTCATTCATCAACTAATCAGTCCCTCCCACGCAATAAAAGTAACCTGCCCAAAACTTCGTCTCACAGTTCTCGCCGTTTTCCCCCAGTGCGCCGTTCCGGCTGTAGAGATCCGCGGGCGTGATCTGATTTGCCGTAGCAAACGACGAGCAGGTGTCCCCAGCGTGGGCTTGGGCGTATTTAGCGCACGGCGAGGCGATTCCCGACTGCGTAGGAGAGGGAGTTGCTGGGTCACCGCCAGTGGCTGCTGTAGGAGCGGAGTCACTGGTGGTGGTAGTGGTAACGGGAGCGGCATCGATGGCGGACAAAGCGGTAGTGACGGAGGTAGTATTGTTGCCACCGGCTGCGGAAGCATCACTAGAGCCCACGCAGTAATAATAGCCTGACCAAAAGGCCGTGTCGCAACTTTTGCCTGCGTCTCCTAAGGCGCTGTTTAGGGCGTATAATTGAGCTGAGGCGATGTTGTGCTCTTGTGCAAATGTCGAGCAGTAATCGCCTTTCTTAGCCTGGCTGTACTTAGCGCAGGAGGCTGAGATGCCTTTCTGTGTTGGTGAAGGTGCCGCGGACCCGCTGCCGGATGAGCCTGATGATGGCGATACAACTGTGTTGGTCGGAAGAGTTGAATTGCTGAAAGGAGCAGTTGGGTTACTGGGCGCCCCTGTGTCACTCCCATCGCCTCCTCCACGTTGCAGTGCGCTAGCGTTTGAGTTTGTGTTTGAGAAGGGAGGCGGAACGTAAGAACCGCCAGGCGCGCTGGTGCAAACGTAGTCGCCTGTATTGAGGTTGTCACAGAGGCCGTTGATGTTTGGATTCCATTTTCTGAACTGTACAGTACTAACGGGGCTGGTGTTGAGCCCGGCTGTCGAGAGTGAGCTGGCAATCGAATCGCTAAAACTGGCGGTCAGTATCTACTGTTACGCATAACAGCAATGGGGATGAAGCTTGCTTACCAACTCGCACCAAAAGGGACTTTCATGAGTGTACATGCTGCAGGCACGCAGTATGACGAAACTAAGAAGACGCAGCCTGGATCTCCTATGGCAGCTTGAAGATCGCCAGTGGCCACACTGTACTTGGCCGACAGCGCATTGCACCATGTCCCATTGGCTGGGATGTTTGTACCTTTCAGGTCAGCTGCGCAAATGCTTTGACCTGAGCACGTGGTGGTGCTATTTGTACCATTCGAAAATTGGCTGCCATTTGACGTGAATGGAGGCCTGTCGTTATAAATTAATATCTCCGAACTTAAGACTGCTTTTCCGATGCAAGATGAATGCATCACCTCAAGAGTAGAAGCGAAGGATGGCCAACTTACATGAGAGAGTTGTCGGAGGATAAGGGCACACCGTCGTAAAGTCCCCGGGCGTCCTCGTAGTAGGGAAGAGCGCGAACCATAAGCTCAGGCATGGAAATCCTACAAACATCGAGAATGTCTTGATATTGTGCCACGAGATAGTCCGAGTAGTCGGAGTCAGGCAGATACGGCGACGACATCCTTTGGTAGAACATCCTTAAGAAGCAATCACTGCAAAGCTTCATGAAACATTAGTGTCTTTGTGCAACTGAATACGGACGCAATGGACAATGCTTACCATATCATTGCCATACAAATTTGCAATACGTTCGTTCTGTGGGGCAACATCAGTGGGATCTGAGCATGACGGGTCTGTGGGGTCGGTAGAGCAGTCGGGACGAATGATGTCGGAGCCAACCCAGCCCTGGGACTCAATGAGACACCAGGATAATGCGCTAGAGTTTGGATTGGACTTTGAGCTCGAATTCAAGTACGGAGCTGAGCCGCTGAGACTTGCGCTAGAGTTTGAGTAGGGAGCTGAGCCGGTGGAGTTCGAGCTACCATTCCCGGAGACTCCTGGGGCAGTGGGACTGGTTCCGGATCTTAGACATGCAATGTTTAAGCCGTCGAAGAATCTTCCCGCGATAGACTCCGCTGGTATCAATTTGCCATACGCTGTAATGGTATCCATATCGCATCTATCTTGCACATCCAACCACCATTTTCGGGATGACTGGATGCAATCTGCAGTGCAAAGACCTGTGACATTCTCCGTGGTCCAAAGATAGCTGTCAACTGTGTTTGACATTTGGAACAATGTCTGATCACATGCGACCGTTTCGTTGAGGGCATCCAAGCAACCGACGCTGATGCCGAAGGATTTGGCAAGACTGTCCGGGTTCACAGTGGGGTAGAGGCTGAATGCCGCCGCATAGGAGGTGAACACTAAAAAACTGGTGTATGGAATGTTGTCAAGCATCTTGAAGGGGATAAGAAAGCAGTTCCTGGCTGACTTGAAGAGGCCGAGTGACGTTGATACTTTTCTGAATAACAGAAATCGCGAAACGATATGTTCTGTACTGCTCAACAGACTAAAACGAAGATAGAGACTGGCAATGGCTGGAGTGCGATGTGTGACGAAGAAAAGAGCTGGGACAAAGAAGATTTGACAGACTGGAGAGAAAAATGCGACATCGAAAAAGATCTATTAGAAGGCTCGAGAGCGAGAAGGGGATGATGTGTATTTGTTTACAACTCACGTACTAATATGAAATACCATGACCCTAATAATGCCTGCTCTTCGCATGAGGATTTGCAACCCTGGGAAGTATGGGCCTGTAGTCTAGACAAGCTGGAGTTGTCCTCATGTGCCTTTGTGCAGGATCAGACGAGCCTCCTAGCAGTGGCCGAGGGATGAAACTTGGAGGATCGTAGGCCATATCACACAGTCTTGGCTTATCAGCTCCTGAAGCATCGTAGCGACTAAGATTGATTTAGTTTCCATTGGAAGACTGAGAGATATTCGCAGTCAATCTCACTGCAGCATGGTTGTTTCATGCGTGTATACGCCACTGTGAATCAGGTGTCTATCATTAGTATCTAAGGTCCAAGTCCGTGTAAAACATGGTGAGGATTTCCATCACCGGCAGCGGCTGGCTGAAGCTAGCCCGGAAGTAGTAAGGTGGAAGGATTTGCGCGCGTCTCAGCCTCTCAGCTCCGCCCTTTTCTCTCTTCCCTCGTCCATACATTCTGAGGTACCTTAGCTGAGAATACATCTTTTCCGTTTTCGACTCAGCCCTGGGTGTGCATCTCAAGGCCATCAATCACACCTACGCCGTCTGGGCTGGACCATTCGAAATCCTTCTTGATCTCTAACTTGCCATTTACCACGAGCGGAACTATCCCTCTCGTGGCTGAAACAACCAACAGATTTGTGAAGTGATGATGGGAAGCAGGTAGCAGGCACCGACATGGCGCAGGGACCTCCTCCCGCAGGACTGCCTCAGAATAACTCATGTACTTTTGGAGCCTCTTGTCAGTAACCCTTGAGGAGAATTCCAATGGATAAAACCTCAGTGCCCAATAAGGTATTTCTTCGCGTATAGATCTTCTCCATTCTGTTGTCAGCTATCTTGTTCATCCATTGTTGTGCATCTTTCTCGTGTCTTTCCTCAGTCTTTTGCTATATCGACCTGTGTACGCCAGGCTATACGTCTTTGATATAGCGTCCTCTCCTTTCAAATTTCGATACATTCCCTGGTCGTCATGCATTTTAGCAAACTTGCGGCAGCGGTTGCCGCTTTGGCTTCTTTGAGCGCTGCCACAATCTCGAAAGAGCATCCTTCGCATGAACGCTCCAACGGACAGTCGTTGAATCCTCGCTTGACCAATGTCCCATTGGCGGCTCGAGATTTACCAATTGGCACTTGCAATTCTGGGACCCCTTGCGCCAACGGCGCTTGCTGCAGTAAGACCAATCTGTGCGGATACTCCAAGGATTTTTGTGGAAGTGGATGCCAGCATAATTGTAAGTACCAAGACTCTGGGTTGCCTTATCACACTAACATTGATTCTCCAGGCGACGCAAAAGCTCAGTGTGGACCTTACGCCGCTGCCGGTCAGCAAAAATGCCCTCTCAATGTTTGCTGCTCCGAGTTCGGTTACTGCGGATCCACCAAGGAATTCTGTGCCTGGAAAAACAAGGATGATCCATTGTATCCAACATGTGACACCAAATATGGTGGATGTGGCGATGTTCATAGGCCCAGCTGTGGAGGAGGTAGCAGCGTGGACAAACGTAGTATTGGCTATTACGAGTCCTGGGCGAATTCAGACTCCCGCAAATGTCAAAAAGTCGCCCCTGAGGACCTCAACCTCGATGGTTTCACCCATATGAACTTCGCGTTTTCATTCTTTGACCCCTCAAGCTTCCAGATTGCCCCGATGGACTCGAATGGTGCGTCTCTCTACAGTCGTTTCACTGCCTTGAAGAGCAAGAAACCATCGCTGCAGACCTGGATCTCTGTGGGAGGATGGTCTTTTACCGATCCAGGTCCAACGCAGACCGCTTTCTCCGAGATGACCAGCACTTCGGGAAACCGTCAGAAATTCATTAGCGGTCTAATCAAGTTCATGGACACATACGGTTTTGATGGGGTGGACTTGGACTGGGAATACCCAGGAGCCGATGACCGTGGCGGCAAATCGCAAGATACAGCCAACTATGTCTCTCTCGCTGCCGAGCTGAGAGCAGCGTTCGGAACGAAATATGGCATTTCCATGACGCTTCCCACTTCTTACTGGTACCTACAGCATTTTGATCTACTGGGCATACAGAAATCCGTTGATTGGTTCAACTTGATGGCTTACGACTTGCATGGTGTATGGGACGCACAGTCCAAGTTCGTTGGGCCGTACATTGCGCCACATACGAACATTACTGAAATTGACCTCGGCTTGGACTTGCTCTGGCGCTCTGGAGTAGATCCTGCTAAGGTGGTCATGGGACAAGGTTGGTATGGCCGAAGTTTCACCCTCAAAGATCCTTCCTGCAACAAACCCAATGGCATCTGCGAGTTTTCTGGAGGCGCCAAAGCCGGACCGTGTTCCAATGCCGCAGGCATACTTGATTTGGAAGAAATCGACGACATCATCACTAAAAACAACGTCAAGCCTGTCCACGATGAGACAGCGGCCGTCAAATGGATCACCTGGGACAGCGACCAATGGATCTCATACGACGACGACGACACGTTCAAGCAGAAGAAAGACTTTGCAAATAGCCGATGCTTGGGCGGACTCATGGTCTGGGCCATGGATCAGGTTGATCAAACAAAACCTAATGGGCTTGGTCCTGCCTCGACAGTCTCCGTGACTCCTCCGCAGCAGAGCAACGCAAATCAAATGTCCGCCGACCAGCTGGCAGGGCTTACATGCAAAGCCTCTGCGTGCGGTGCTGGCTGTCCTCCTGGTACGAATGCTGTTACACAGATGAACGGACAACCCGGTCAGTTGAGTACCACAGATCGCTGTCCCAAGAAACAATACCAGACGCTTTGCTGCCTTGATGGAACACAAACCGGCAAATGCCAATGGCGTGGGTGGAAAGGTGTTGGATTACCCTGTGTTAGCGGCTGCAAGGATGGTGAGACGGAAGTCAGCCAAAACACGAACAACCACGACTCGAAAAAGAAGAGCCAAACCTGTAACGGTGGGCTGCAGAGTTACTGCTGCGCCGGGTTCAAACCCTCGCTTACGAAAGATCAGCTGGAGCAGGATGCTGGTAATTTTGCAAAGGAAGCAGCAGAAGCAGCAGCTGCTCAAGCAGCCCTTGACATAGCCGCCAAAGCCTTCTGTCGTATCGCCGTCCCTGTTCTGCTGGCGCCACTTGAGTTGCTAGAAGACCTGATCCCAATCGCCGGCGAGATCGCGGATGCCATAGAGGTCGCAGCCACGCCAGCCATCATCGAAGGCTGCGTCAAGGGCATTGAAAAAGAAGGCAAAGCCGAGTTTAAAGTTTTTGGAAAAGAACACACCCTCGACATCAACAAGCCCACATCAACAGACAAAGACCTGCCGGCGCCCAAAAAGCATGACCCGCCCAAAAAAAGCGACGACGCTTGCGAAAAGCCCGACAAACTGCGGAAGCGGGTGGGCGTGCAAGCTAAGAGGGAGGACCGTGACAGTGATGCGTTCAAGGCCCTGGCTAGGGCGGCCGGAAAACCCAATGAGTTCTGGAGAACTGGCCAGGGCTGGGCCATTCGTGAAGCTTACCCTTGGGCAGGAAACGTGATACCCAATCACTACCTCCTTGTCGTCGGGATTGTTTCGGTCAAGCTGACCATGGAACCAATCAAGGATTGCCGCGGCAACACCGTCAACCAGAAGAATATATATACCCGTGACTACATTGCCCAATCGTATGAAATCAGGTACGACGACAACTATAAGTGCGTCTTCGGCAAGTTTGCCTTTGATGTTTGGCATAAAGCAGGCTTAACTTGGGCCAACATGGGACCCATTGATGCAAAATACCAAACGCTGGCGGACATCGAGGAGGTCGCTCAAACGAAGGCTGACGCAATGGGCCAGTACCATCTCGTCACGAACAATTGCAGGGTCTACACAAACAATCTATATAATGCGCTGAAGTAATCGGCCGCTAGAAATTCTCAATAGCCTGTTGAGTAGTGGTTTAGTTGCATGAAAGGCCTGTCTGGTTTCGAGAGATAGGGGAGCTGACTATGGTTCATTTGTGTACCTTTCATCGGGGTTTTCTGTTTATATATCCCGTAGGAATTCAAATATTTGTACATACACCACCAATGCACCAATATTTTAAGCAACTACCATCAAAGTGCTCATATCTATACGCCAAGGAGACGAAAGGAGGTCTCCTCACCGGACATAGAGTTGCCAACTCGGCACAACCACTTCTCTACCTCTACATACATTCATGTCTAGACGTAAAGAAAGTCCGCCCTGTGACTGAATCCGCAGTCATCTACGGGGAGATTCGTTAAGTATTTGTCCTGTCTCATTAAATCAATATATTGCCATTCGAAATATTTGTCTTAAATTCAATTCATCTCGCCATCATCTTAGGTACCGGGCCCGAATCCCTGAATCCGCTTCTTCAATTCATCCTCTCCCACCTGCGGCTCCCGTGGCTTTTCCGTCGGAGCCGCATCCCCTTCGGACACCTGCATTCGATGAGGCTCCGGGGATGCGGTACGTAGTCCCGGCTTCTCAACGAGCTGTTCTTCGAATGGCGGTGTTGCGTGGCCGCCTAGGTCGTATAGGTCGAGCTTCTGGATCCGCAGGCTGGTTTCCCAGTTGTTGGCCTGGTTTTCTCGGCTCGCAGAAGGGCTGGTGGAGTGATAGACGCTGTTGTAGCTGGGAGATTCCTTGCTTTGCTTGTCTTGGTTCGCTTCGCTTTCGATTGTATTGAAACTTCTCAATGTCGCGATGCCACTGTCGAAATCCACAAACAGGCCACTCCCACCCTCCGCTCCGAACCGCAGCCCACCTTTTCTGCCACTTCTTGTGTCCCCGCTGATGATATGGATCAGATCCATAATCCATGCGTCGGCTTCTGGCCGCAAGATTTCCTGGCATGGCTCCAGCTGGAATAGCATGTGGTCGGGTGTGTAGCGGTGCAGCTTTTGAGGCGGGCTGGCTCGGAATGAGCGCTGGCGCTCAACGTCCCACGGCGTGGGCATGCAGGCTCCAACGGTGACTCGCGTGGGGGGATGAGCATCGGCCACACTAGCCTCGCCGGTGATGAGGAGTAACGTGCCGGTCTTTATAGGACTGAGAGCGGTGACGAGGTCGGCGGTATTGAGAGTGAGAGGTGAAGCTGAATATGCAGCTTGTGTTCTTTGAAGAGCGTAATGAGCTTCTTGACGGGCGAATTCTTCGAAGACGTGGCGCCCCGGGTGGGCTAGAGGAGGGTGTAAGAGGAGGTTGAGATATTGAGCGTATGGGACAGGTATGATGGAGTTTGGTGCGGACGTGTTGAGAGCTTGTATTGGCGCGGTCAATGGAGAAAGGAAGGATGTGAAGATGAGACGAAACTGTGAAGGGAGACCGGGCTTTGGGTTCATTCGTTAGCGAAGTTACTATATTCGCACGGTACTGTAGAAAGCTCTTACCAGGTGAACACTCAAGACCTCCTTGAAAACATGCCATTCGATATCCCTCTTCTCGTTCGAGGCGGAATGTCTCAATATTGCATCGGCAGCTCCTTGGAGAATACCTGAATTTGGGTGTATCAAAATTCGGCCGGTGTAGAAATATGGCTCGTGGGGCCCCCATTCTGGCTTGTCCAATTGAACGCTCAAAAGGGCCTTTAACAGGCTCAGAAAGTCTCCACGGGGAATCGAAGAACAAGTGAATTGCGTGGACGAGCTCAAGATTCTCTTTGCGTGAGGCCTCAATTCTTCAGTCGGTGCAGGCATTATACAAGGATTGTCGGGCTGGGTAAGACACAAAACGTCCATGAGATCCTCTTCCGTGGTTGACAAGTCCGCTACACTGGACTTTGATGACTTGTAATGATTCGGATGAGGTGTCTGAATTGACAAGCTCTTGAACATAATCCAAAGCTGTTTTGTAGCACGAGCGTTGGCGTCAGGATATCTATCGGTATCCATGGTAATACCATCCGCGTTGTCACCGAGGCGCAGATTACCTTCAGCTGCCAGCAATCCTATGGCCCGCTGGAAGGCACTATAGTCGAGTCGATTTGGCTTCTGCGGAAATGGGAAGAAGGCATGAAAATGAAAGCACCTCCATAGTATCGCAACGCTTGCGGTCAGTTCAGACCCTGGAAACCGATTCGACAAGAAATTCCCTAGGTCCTTTTCGTGCCAATCTGCTCAATGTCAGACGTCTTTTCGCTGGAGAGGTAGAGTTCTATTACATCTTTTTTTGTCACCTTCGTCAACGGATCCATATGCGCCAAACGTTTCTTTGATGAGAGACCCGGCGTTTCGAGTAGCTGGAAGTCCTCCATATCCTTTGCTATCTGGAAAGAAGCTTGAGGTAAGTGCTTCGAGTACCGAATCTAGTTTCGTGTGATTGGATTAGCCTGGAATGCGCACTTTGTTATGACGGTTGCTGACCTTCTGTTGCATTATCTAGCCACTTTTCGACGCGACTTTTGTGGCTAGCCAGCCATGAGTCGGTAAGTGCCGATGAGATTGAGTTACCCATGATGGTGTGTTGTGGTGATGTGATGTTATTACTACTCCCATTGAAGAAAAGATTGGAGAACACTACTTGACGGATCCTTCTTATGGTATTCAACGCTGTAGCCTTGATAGTCTCGTTGCAAAGTGTGTGTCAGTGGAGAGCTACGAGTAATCACTGTTGCCTTGCCGGAATGAAGTTGAAGATGGATACTTTGCTTAAATGCTTCGAATCGCGGTGGAGCGCTGCCTGTTTCACGGCATCCTAACAGCTCCTCCCTCGAGGCTGAGTGGAAGCTAAGCAAACTAATAATAGATTTCCCATGTTTTTATGATCGTGTCACCAGTAATTGAGTACTTTCATTTATTCATCTTTGAGTCAGAATCATGAGAGGGCATGTATGGATATTTTTGCAGCTTTTTAATTGATGAAGAGAAATGATATCGTCCATTTTCGAAGACACTTTAGACCAAATGAGGCTACTCTATTCGACTAGCCGGAAGAAAAGTAGCGCGAAATGGTTCGCGGAAATAGACCGGATTTAACGCACCTGAAGCCTGCAAGCGCTTTCTTATTAACCATGCCTATCTGAAACTGTAACGCTTTTGTTTCCCGACACACAGCCCGTGGCCATGCAACACTTGATGTTGCGCTCTGAAACGAAATCAAGTCATCAAATCCCTGATTCACTGACAATCTCAACTTCTCTTTTTAAAGTCCTGCTTGGAAGCCTCACAGTCTATTCGCAAAGAGAGCCAACCCTGAACACGACGGTACGTTGCAGTGACGGAGAAATAGGGATGAGTACGGTGACTCCTAGGCATCGATCTATGAACGACGTCCGAGCTTGCAAGGACGCGGAGTCGCCGCTCCTTCGACTGCCTATAGAGCTATAGACTCGGATCTACGAGTATGTCTGCGAAGGGCAAATTGTTCACACCGACCTGAGTGACCGTGATTTGTCTTATTACAGCTATGATGCAGTATAATCACGGGAGGAGGAGCAGGAAAAGTTTGACACCTCGAAAGTCTTACGGCCGGGACGCACTTTCATTTGCTCTTCGATTTGCTCAGCCGACACTTGAGGACTAGGATAATTCAGGCTCAGATACCTCGACAAAGGTTCAAAACATGAGTGTGAATGACATGCGAACAAGTAAGCAGAGTACCAGCTCTCTGAAACCGTATCATATCTCTCCTCGTCTTGTGCTCCGCTTTTCTCAAATTCTGCCTATCCTCCCTCACTCCCTGTCCGGGAGAGCTCTTGCATCCTGCTACTATTTTCTCGGTTAACTTTAGCCTTAGAAAGCAACTTCACAACAAAGACAACACAATCCGGACAGGCCCCATTCGAAGGTAATGGTTCTCGTGAGACCTTGCAAATCTGCTCTTGAAGGCAACGCTTGGCACTTTCGGGAGTCAGTGTGATCGTCATGGTTGACTGGGATGTCTTCCACGGCCAATTGACCAGAAGGGAATCAGTCATTCCCTTCGCAATGTTGCATACTGCAAGGACCCAGATCGGAAAATCAGGCACAGTCGTCGAGCCTCGTGAGTATCTGGGGCTAGAAGCTTCCCTGCCATTGTCTGTCGAATATGAATTCATCCTTCCGCAAACTCAGAGTTCAGGGCGTTGTTCTCTCTGCTCGGGCTGAACAGTTCTGCATAGCATTCCAGTAAACGAGTCCACGCTTAGGTGCGCCTGGCCACGAGGGATAGTAACGTCACGCGAAACTACTGCTTCGAGAACAAAAGCTTAGGAGGAGAACGTGGAAAACATGGAGGCATATTGTAAGAGGGCAAGAAAGAAAAGGAACCTGCGGGGAAAAGATTTCCTCGAGCCGGGACGAGAGCTGCGGTGACGTGATCAATTCAGCAGGACAGTGCCAAGACGTGACCAATATCCTGGGGCCTCCTTTCATGGAATCAAATCCAACATTCAGCGTTAGGCTGACCAGTACGTGGTGATGGAACAATAGTCAGTAATGTACCGTACAGCGCCCAATGGGCTTTTCGGGAATGACGGCCGCTCCTAGTTGCTGTAGAGTTCCCCTATATGAGACCGGGAGCCTCATTTAGACACCCGAACACCCATCTTCTACGGTCGATGGTAAGGCACGCTTCTTTCCTATCTTTCTTACTGTCTCTATTTTCCGCATGAGACCCCGCCGTGTCGCTATGTGGAGCCTTTGATATACGATGCCTAGAAGCATCGGCGTCTCTTCGGCTTTTCTAGAAATAATAATTATCTTATATTAATATTTTATTATTTCTATAATTCGCGATATCGACTTAACTCTATAAGTCGAGTTCGACTCGACTTAGTTATATTATAAGCTCGATTTAACTTAACTTAATAATACTATCGCTAGATATTAAGTTTATATATATAAATTTATATTACTATATTAAGTAATCTATCTTTTCTATTAAAAATAAGAGTATTATTATTTATAATATATCTTATAAACGCTAATTATTTAAAAAGAAAAATTATCGTTAATACGCTTTCTTATTACTATAATCGCGTTAAAGTTAATATAATATATATAAAGATTAATAATATATATTTATATTCTTATTATCTAATCTTAGCTTTATTAACCTCTTCTCTTAATATCTAAATTTCTTTAAGATTTATATATATTAATACTCGTTAAAATATCGAATATCTTTTCTATAAAATCGAAATCGACTTTCTTAAATTAGAAGTTTCGACTTTTAGATAATTATATATATAAAAATATAGCGAGTAATAGTATATATAAATCTCTTCTTATAATATCTTACGTTAAGGCTTTCTTCTAATTTATTATATTTTTGAAATAACGTATCTCGATTCTAGTATTATCGTATAGATTATTAATAACTCTTATCGTCTTATATATCTGCAAATCTGAAAAGTTTCTATAAAATTTGAAATTGCTAATCGCGCGTGTGTCGCGGAAATTACAAAATTCGTCGAATTAGTAAATCTAATTAGAATTCGTCTAAATTCTATCGATTTAGTAAATCTAATTAGAATTCGTCTAAATTCCGTCGATTTAATAACTATTTTAACTTTTTTCGCTAGTTCTATTAGTTTAATAGTAATATATACGAAAAAAGAAAAGTTCTAATAATCGACGTTACGATAATAAGATTTTACGACGACGAGTATTAACGCTAACTCAAATTTGGCTACGGAATTAGACGATTTAATAAAATTAGTCGCGTAAATAATACTCTAATATAGCGTATAATAATACGTATATTAATAATAATATATATTAATGCTATATATATATAAAATAGTACTTATAGTATATTAGAGTATATTACGTAAAGATTTTAAAGTTATTAAATTTTTTTAAAGTTATTAAACTAATAGAACTGGCGAAAAGAATTAAAATAGTTACTAAATTAGCGGAAAGGGTTAGATATAGATAAAGTCTACTAAATAAACTAAATCGTACTTATAATACGAACCCGGCGGAAATCGTACGAAAAGAAACTTTTTAGATTTATAGATATATCTTCTATAATAGCTTACGTAGTTACGTTAGAGCTTTCTTCTAATTTATTATATTTTTAGAATAACGTATCTCGATTCTAATATTATCGTATAAACTATTAATAACTCTCGCCGTCTTATACTCTCTATAATAGCTTACGTTAAGACTTTCTTCTAATTTATCATATTTTTAAGATAATATATCTCGATTCTAATATTATCGTATAGACTATTAACGACTTAAGAAAACTTTAAATAATAGTCTTTATTATAGGCGATAACGTTCTTTAAATTATAAGAAGTCGTAAATTAGTTTAATAGTAATCTTTAACGTTAAAATACTTAGCTAGATACTTTTTAAAGCGTATTAATATCTCTCTAACTAGAGAAAAGCCCGTTCTCTCTTCTCTTTCTAATTATAATATTTATATACATATTTTATAATTATAAAACCCCTCTTCGCTTAACGATCTCTAAAGATAATTTAAAAGTTATTTAAATTAAGAAGAATATTCGAGTTAAAAAGAATATTTAAGTTAAGAAAGATATTTAAATCGAGAAAAGTAATTAAAATCGATTTTACTCGTTATATATTTAGTTCTATTTCTAATATTCTAAGATTTAAATTCTTAATATCTCTATTATCTTATAATATAGCGTATATTAATCTTTTTTACTACTCTATAACTCTTATTTAAAAAATCTAAATTATAGATATTATTATATTAATTAAAGTCGATAAAGCTATTAATATAATAAATTTTTTTATCTTTTATCGACGTAGATATAATATATATACTTCTCTCGATACTTATAAGGCTATAGAATCGTTATTTTTCGAGAATTCTTAAATTCCGCGCTATTAATAATTACGCTCTTTCTACTTTTACTATACTATAATATTTCTAAACTTATTTATTATATTAATACTTAAATATCTTTATAAAAATATTCTATAGATAAGTCGATCTTTATCTAAAATCTCTATAAACTAGATTTATCACTTTTATTATAATTAATACTTTTTCTATTAATTTTCTCGAAAAAACTCTATTAATATCGAAGGTCTATTAATTATATTTATAAATTTAAGCGTAATCTCTACGCTATCTTTTTCGAAAGAGTTAATTAATAAGTTTATAGATAACGACATCTTTAAATAAACGAGCTATATTTAGAGAATTCTTCTCGAGAGCCTTTTAATATCGAATATTAAAATAGATATAAATCGAATATCGATGTATTTATTTATAGTTCGCTTTACGTATATCGATATTATTATCTTTCTTAAATAGATAATATTCTCTTAATTTCATTCGATCTATTCGAATAAAGGCGGTTAGAGTTTCGAGAAAAATATTTAACTTTAATTATTTAATAACGATCTCTATTAATCGCTAATAACGACTATTATAATAATAGATCTATCTTATAATATTACGCTTCTTATTATCCGCCTACTAATCTTAAATATAAAGATCTAAAAAAATTTCTATCTTAATCTTCTTCTTTTTCTTTTATAATCTCTTAA